TGCACGATAAAAAAGCCCATGTTGGACGCGAAGAAGCGAGCAAGTTGCACGAGGGGAAAAAAACACGCCTGGTTTAAATGTCACACCTGAACGCTCACATCCTTTTAATTATGTTTGAAATTATGAACATTGCTCAACATCATGAAAATTAAACCTTATTTTCAATAAGCAATCCTGAAAAATATTTGGGGGTGCTTAACTTTTTCCAGGTGTATATATTATTGGTCATTGTTATTGTCGGATAGTTTGTTTTCTGCAAACCATACTAGCACTAAAAGTTGACATTTTTATATTGGTCTATTCTAAGACTGTGCAATGAACAAGTGTTACAGGTGTTGTTTTCTGACAGTGTTACATGAAAATCAGATTCAAAAATGCTTTTAGGTATCTGCTAGGACTTGAAGTGTCAAATAACATGTAGAAAATGTACACAAATTTTATGAGTGCTAAACTTAACACCTGTTTAAGTATGCATTGCTAATAGATAACCTGTAAGTTTGAGTATATAATTAATAAATCATTTAAAAATTTTTCTTACTGGTAGTTCATGGTATTCACCAGTAATTGTTAATATACATGTATCATGTATATGAATACAAATTTTTAGTATACAGTTTATGGCCTGGTGGTTTGAGCACTCGACTCGCAATTTGAGGGATGCGGGTTTGAATCCCCTTCACACCAAACATGCTTGCCCTTTTAGCCATGGGGGGCATTATAATGTGACAGTCAATCCTATAATTCATTGGTAAAAGAGTAGCTCAAGAGTTGACAGTGAGTAGTGTTGACTAGCTGACTTCACTCTAGTATGTCACTGCTAAATTAGGGATGGCTAGTACAGATAGCCCTCATGTAGCTTTGCACGAAATTCGAAACAAACCAAATTTATACAGTTTTTGTGCAAAGAGTAATGTGTTGGTAAGTAATGGAATAGACAATTAAACTATAGTTATTAGTAGATGGTTTTAACATAACACTCTTGTTAATGTAAAACAACTACTTCAGTTTTGTTGATAGTCTTTCACAGTAGGGAGATATAAAATTATTTACTTGATAGTTAAATAACTTTAGACTTCAAACTCATTGTTTATTTACTCTCTATAAAATCTGATCAGTAGTTAGTTTCAAAGGTATGTTTACTTCATTATTTCATATAGTTCTCTTCCCCCCCTCTTTCTTTACATGATTACTACTTTTTCATGTTTCTTTTCCAGATTTTTTCTTTAAATGTTTCTTAAATAATACTACAGCTGTACCAAGTGCCAACATGCTCTGTCTACATAGAATATGAATTTAGGGCTAACCTAAGTTAGGGTTATAATATACAGTTTCAGTGAATTCTGGTCATTATAAGTTCTTAATTTATGACATTACATTAGACTGGAATGTTAAATTAGCTACATTAATTATTTTGTTCATTTTGTTATCTATACCTGTAGCTTGCCTTGATTAGAACTTTTTGATAATTAGTAGATTGATCTATCAGAAAATTTCAGTTGCTTACAAAAAGAAATTGATGTACAATTTTATGATTTATTACATGACAGGCTCAAGAGACTCACAGTAAACAGAAACAGCAGCAGGAGTGGGAGACAAAAGAAGCACAGTATGAGACACAGAAAAGCATTCTGAATGAAAATCTGAGCACACTCCGAGAAGACTTGTTAAATGAACAGTCCAAGCGTGAACAGTTTGAAAAAAAAGTTGATGAACTCGGTGGTGATAAACTTGGTGAGTGGGTGCTCTTCACAGTTTTATCCTTCTTGTGAAGTTTGTTTATTTGCTAAATTTTTCAATTAGTGCGGTTAACCACTGTAATTATTTAGTAGAAATATCGTATCTAAGAATTGGAACTGCTATTTATTATACTCCTTGTCAATCTATGCAAATCAAACAAGTCAAGGCTACTTTTCATTTCTGAGAATTTGAAGAAACTCAGAAGTTTTTTTTAAATTGTAACTTTTATTTGTTTCAATACCTACTGTAGAGGTGAGAAACAAAGCTTTGAGTTTACATTTTTGTCTTTTAATCAGCAAATATTCATAAAATAGACTACTATAGTCTTGGAAAAGGAAAAGAATCTTTGTATTTATCAAGTTAAATATTTTTACTAATAGATTAATACCACTAATCACCCCGCTCTAATGTTGCACTTAATAATGTAACATTTAAATATAGAGCTAATTTTTCTATCATGTTTAACCTTTTACCAGATAACCTCTATGAATATTTCCATGTTTGGATAGATGCTGATGGTGGATAACTGTCCATTTTTTCATTTATTACTTTTATTGTTGTACTTGCTGTCCAATTATTAAGTTCACCTTGATGTAGTTATAGCCTGAAACATCAGATTTAGATATGTAACTGCATTTTATGTATCAAGAGACTTAAGAATGCAATTGTAGTTTTGGCTTTTCTAGGTAAGCAATACATATCGATAACCAGATACTTAAGTGTGGGAAAGTAATATTATTTCATTGTTCACATTAGTTAAACTAACATATTATGGGTTATGTGAATTTGAAAGTTGATCATCATTTCTTTAAGCTTGAACAAAAGTGACCTTCATATTGCTAATTTGCAGTGTTTAAATAACCTTTCAATTTCAGCCAGTTTAGTCATTTAAATACCTCTGAATTAATACTCAACAATAATAAAAATGGATGAATGGAATTAAATAATAGAGAAAATTATTAACTCTATAGAGTAACAAAGCTGAGTCTAACTGGCAATTTGGTAAGTATATAAAGTTGATCAACTAATTTTTTTCTCTTCTAGCATAAAAAGCAATAAAGTGATCATTCATTTTTAATTAATGTCTGCTTTTTTTTCATTTTTAATTGGTCAACAGTGAATTAAATTTAAAACCTTTTTGTGCTCATGACTAAAAAAATTACTGTATAATTTTATAAATTTGGGATAGGTGGCCTAATTCTTCTCATGAACCATTGTGGGTTACTTGATTTTGTGTTTGTATTTACTTCTGTAATTTTGACTCATGGCATTATCAAGAATGTTAACACAGTATACATAAGTAAGATGGTGAATTTGATATTAATTAAAGAAGGTATAAAATTCTGGTTTGAAAAATGTGCTGTTGCTGTTTCTAGGTTAAGTAGTTCGAAGTTAAGTTTCTGAGTGATTTGTATGTTCTTTACAAACATAAATTCTGTACCTCCTTCATATTTTGCATATTTGTAAACTTTGGTTTTCCCTATTCTAGTATTGTGTATTAAAAATTTGGCACAAGTGAAGATATGGATGAACAGACTTTTCTACATGGAAATGCCATTCTGTTTACTTTATTGATAAAATGCATTTATATATTAAAGAATCTAATCTACTTCCTTCAACAAGAAATCTAAATTATTTACTATACCAATACATTAGGTATTAAATTCTCCGTATTATATAATGAACGTAGATTATCACGCCATGTTGTTATTAATTTAGTGACTCTAGGGACAATTTTAGTACCTCAATACATCTCTTATTTTTCCAGACTTAACTTTTGAATGTGTGAACGTGATAGATCAAGTTTAAATACTTAAGTATTTATATATTTTTTCTCTCTTCCAACCATCATATCAAATAAAACTGATTTATGAGTAAAGTCAATGCTATTATGTTAATTCATTACTCCTTTCATTTTTTAGTTAGCCATATTTAAATTTTCAAAAGGAGAAAACTATTAAACATATTTGATGCATAGTTAGTAGTCAGTTAATGATAAATACCAGACCAAAGACTTTTTTCATCCATTAGTTATTTTTATAACATATATTTTAATCAACACTTGTACAGTAAAATTTGTCAAATACTCTAAGAATTAAATATTTTTATGAGATAGTTCATTACTACATTTACAGTGATTGTAATACTTCGTTATAAAACAATCTAATAAGATATTTCTTTTATGAAGTTTTTCATCCTGTTTAAAAGCTCTGTTGGTGAAATATTTTGAATGGTCATTTGTTTTTGTTCTTTAACTAGTATTTGAAGACTATTTATCAAAAATGTGCACATGTAATTGAAATTGTATTTAATGACTAATATATGTGAAGTTTTTGTTTTTTTCTGAGTAAGCATGTGATAATTGTGATCATGTAAAGATTTTATATTACACCATGAACTGAATGATTTAGACTTCAGCATGAAGAAATGACAAACGTTTTGTCTTGTGTTGTTACAATAATTCCATTTTTCTAGTTTTAAAGGAGAAGTATCAAAGATTTCTACTTCAAAATTTGCCATAATTTTAGCTAGTAGCATGTGGGAGTAAAGCAAAAGCTAATGATCTTTAGAATAGAGTAGCAACTTTATTAAACAGTGTGTTGGAATAAAGAAACACAGAATGACCTCTAGGATAGTCAGTACTTACTGAACAGTGTGTGGAAGTAAAGCAGCAGTTAATGATCTTTAGAATAGAGTAGCAACTTTATTAAACAGTGTGTTGGAATAAAGAAATACAGAATGACCTCTGGGATAGTCAGTACTTACTGAACAGTGTGTGGAAGTAAAGCAGCAGCTAATGATCTTTAGAATGGAGTAGCAACTTTATTAAACAGTGTGTTGGAATAAAGAAACACAGAATGACCTCTAGGATAGTCGGTACTTACTGAACAGTATGTGGAAGTAAAGCAGCAGCTAATGATCTTTAGAATGGAGTAGCAACTTTATTAAACAGTGTGTTAGAATAAAGAAACACAGAATGACCTCTAGGATAGTCAGTACTTACTGAACAGTGTGTGGAAGTAAAGCAGCAGCTAATGATCTTTAGAATAGAGTAGCAACTTATTAAACAGTGTTTTGGAATAAAGAAATACAGAATGACCTCTAGGATAGTCAGTACTTACTGAACAGTATGTGGAAGTAAAAAAACAGCTAATGATCTTTAGAATGGAGTAGCAACTTTATTAAACAGTGTGTTGGAATAAAGAAATACAGAATGACCTCTAAGATAGTCAGTACTTACTGAACAGTATGTGGAAATAAAGCAGCAGCTAATGACCTCTAGAATGGATTTACTACTTATTATCAGCAAATTTGTAAAAGGAGTTTTTAAAGTTCAGAAACAATTTTGATCCAAGAGAATAACATACTTTGAAATTAGATAGACATATAATTTTTAAGAAATGCATCCTATTCCAAGAATAGTTAAAGACAGTTCTTAATAAAACCAGATTTCACGGTATCAGTAAACATACTCTACTTAAGTGGTACAGTTTGTCTGAAAACTAAAGGGAAACTTACTATAGCTATCAGTAAACATACTCTACTTAAGTGGTACAGTTTGTCTGAAAACTAAAGGGAAACTTACTGTAGCTATCAGTAAACATACTCTACTTAAGTGGTACAGTTTGTCTGAAAGCTAAAGGGAAACTTACTGTAGCTATATTTTACTGAACAATGCCATAAATTTGTAAATGGCTGTTCTCAAAAAACCTATATCATACCTTTTTAAAGTTTGCACACATATAAAAATATTAAGCTCATAACTATATATCTCAGAAAACTTGGAAAGACTTAATAGCTATGTCACCAAATACTGTAAGGTTGTAATATACAAGGTGTACTTCAAAGTATTGCAGTTTATGGTTGAACATGAAAGGATTTACATATGCTACATTTATTTTATCTCTCTCTATACCCCAGAATTAGAAGCTAAACTGGATAATGCTTTAGATGAAAGAAGAGCACTCTTAGAAAGGTATGTATATTTCTCTTATTGTTTTTATCAGTGCTTAAATGATGAATCTGATTTTAACATGGAGTTTTACTATAAAAAGTATTGTAATGAATTTCTGAAAAGCATAACATTACCAGTGTATACTTCTTTTTTATGTTATCTTGTTATTTTTAGATGTCTAAGTAGTGAAACGGAGTGTGAGAAACTACGAGTGACGACAACTGAACTACGGAGGAAGTATGATGACACTGTAGCAGCTTTGCAAGAACTGGGGAGGGAAAACCAAACATTACAGGTAACATTATAAACATCTTGACATTTTTATATACTACATTTTGTTTTCTTTCCTAAACAAAAATACTAAAAAAAGAGAATAATGACCTTATAGCCTAATTTGAATTATGGTACAAACAAAAGCTCAGTCCCAAACTAGCCTTAAGAATTATTAACAAATTTCTTGAGAACAAAGATTTTTATTTGAATATTGTTAATCTAGAAATGAGTGGTCACTTAATTTACCACATTAAATGTTGTAATGTTCCTTGTAAAAAATTATTATTTTTTTCAATAAAAATATTTCTAAAGATTTTCAGTTTTTTTATTTAAAATGGTACCAGACAGATACTGTAACAAAAATCATCTTATCTTATTATGCCCATTGGAGAAATTTAAATGTTAAAGTTAACATTACAAAAGTTAAATGTTAATTAGCTTAAAATAAAAGGTGATATTTCTGCCTTTTACAGATATTATACTACTTTTAATTCCTTAATTGACCTTCAACTTAGAAATACTGATTAAAAGGTTGGATCTTTTTAAAGTTTGTGGGATAAGCTATAGTCTAAACTTACGATATTATGCCTTTTTGTATGCCATTTAACAAAATTGTTATCAGATTATTGAAACCTGTTTTGATTTTTCAAAGTTACTTGTAAAAAACAGATTTTAGTTTTTTATAAAGTTATTCTTTACGCACTAAAAAAAATCTTTAATATTTTAGATTGAGAACACAAAACACATGACCAGGAAGTGGGCAGATGATTCTGAAGTTACTCATTGTACCACGTGTGGAAAAACCTTTACAGTTACTGTACGAAAGGTAAGAAAGTACTTATTATTACAACCACAAAATTTGGAGTATCACATGATTAATAAACAACTGTTTAAAGTATTTTAAACCAAAGATTCATCAATTTAACATATCTCCAGCTTTTCAACTACGTGAAAAATTGTTAATGAAGTAAAGAACAAAATTAGGATTGAATGAAAATTATTCCCATTATTGATAGATGTTGTTCTGGTTAATGTAAACAGATGATATTTTTGTTTTTCTCTATCTATACTAATGGATAATTCATATAAAAAATAAAGCTAATAAGTGAAAACTGAGTTTTTTGTGAATTAAAGCATCAGTGTGTGTTTTTTCTTTAAGTCTTATTTGATACCTTTTATTTTTTGTTATCATAACTAATTATTTAAAAAATTAAAATTGAGTGTTACCTCACTCGGATATATGAACTTTGGTCCAGGAAGAAAATAAGCATTCTTTGCTGATGCTTTGATATGTTACATACGTTTAAAAAATGTTATATTTATTGTAGATAATTTCTTAGTCTAAGAAAAGTATATGTAACTTTGGGCATTTAAATGTACAAAAGATATGTAATATATTTAATTTTTCCAGCACCACTGTAGACATTGTGGAAACATCTTTTGCCAAGAATGTTCATCTAAAGTAGCTATGATTCCTTCTGCCAAGAAACCATTGCGTGTTTGTGATGTGTGTTACAACGAATTGACCAAGTGAAATGACTATGGCTTGTTTTATAGAGGTGAAGCTGAACAAAGCAAACTTGAAACCTCAGACTTGATCACTGACCATTACAAAGCCAAAGATAATGGAAATTAAATCTATTTTATTAAGAATAATAAAGTGGTGTATATAAATAGTCAAAGAACTAATTAACATTCTTCACAAACAATATTAACATTTTACTTTAAAGTGTGTGAAACCTTGCTTTAAATCATTGGATTCTAGCTACTATCTAAAAAAATACTTTTATATTTTACCACAGATCTACTTTAGTCCAGGAAAATGTTTAGAAGACTTATCAGTACACTTAAATGATTAAAGCTGGTAAAAAAAAATCTAACTTAATTTCATCTGGAAACTGATTAATAAACAAAACTAAGTAATAGATTTGTATTACTTTATTAGAACAATATAATGATCATTTGTTATCGTGTGAACATCTTTTGCTGATAAGATATGATTATAATGAAATATACTTGTCATGAAGACTTATAAGATTTTTGAATGGATGGAATAAAGAAGGTAATGTTTGAATATCCAGTAAACCTAATACTGTTGTCTAATGACAAATATAATTGATGATAATGATCACATTTATTGCTTCTGACATTGCTAAGTCATTAGTTCTTATAAATGGAAAATTATACAAGAAATTCTTTACATTAAATAGTTTAAGAGATTATATTCCATGTCATTTATTGATAAACGTATTTTTTTTTAGTATGGAAGAATTACTATCAGTGCCATAACAAGATTTTTGTTTAAGTATCACTTGTGCTAAGAAATTCAGTGTGATGTATTTTCAACTGCCTCTGGTTGAAATTTTATTTTCTTCAGAATCAAATGTAAAGATGAGAGATGCAACTTCTTTGAATAAATATTTACCATTAACGTATTGAGAATTGCTGTATAAAAAAATATTATAATTGTCTTGTACAAGTAACTAAATAGATGACAGCAAATTTAAAGCTATAAGCGTAAATGTTACATGACTAACAAAACAAAAACTAATTAATTGCAAGTCCTTTACGCAATGACAAACTGACAGCAACATCTTTTTTTTCACAATAGCATATAAATGAAACTAAAACATAATAGTGACTCAGTGGTTAGCCTGAGTGTTTATAATGCAAAATATCAGGTTTCAGTACTAACGGGTGACAGAGTACAGGTAGCCTACTGTGCAGTTTTGTGCTAAACAACAAACAAGCAAACAAAATAATAACAGTAAACATACCACAAGGCATAGACATATTTCTTTTATAACTACAGGAGTGGCTTCATTCATAATTTTTCTGTCAAGAAGTGGTAAAACTGGGTTTTTATGAATAAATTTGTGTAATAATTATTTTTGCATTATTATAACAAATATTATTGTTGTGAGTGTAGTTATGACCATATAATAGATATCTTCTAAACAGAGTAAGCTATGTACTTAAGAGTGAAATTAAAAATCGTCCTGGTCATCAGTATAGCTAAATACATATACTTTTCATACAATTCTACTTATAAAGGTTAGAATACACTGTTTTATCAGTTGTGTTCCTTCACTGTTAACTATATTTTCAACCATAATCCCAATAATATATCATGATGATCAGTTGCTTTTATCTCATTGCAGCCAATGACACAGAAAGAAGAGCTTCCAATGTCTAGTTACCCAGAATGGCTGTTTACACTTTTCCCCTGTGGATCAACCAGTGTTTTTATTAGTTATATTTATAGTTAAGGATTTGTACCTTTAGTTTTAGTTACTTTTAGTTATTATTATAGTTAACCAAGTGGTGATGACCTTGACATCTGTCAAGGTAAAATAACTTGGGGCTCTACATTAATTAACCCCTTCACAATACTCTTCTTTGACTAGCCAGACACCAAAATTGGATGATCAAAAGTCTTCAGTAAACATTCTTTTTCTTTAGCTACATGAATATTTTCTGCATTTCTGATACATTCTATTCACGTATACAGGGATTTCAGTCAGACTGCTTGCCCCCCAACATGCGTGGTTGTATGTCAAATAACTAAATAATTTTCCTTATTGTTTTCATTACTGTTACATAGTTTTTAGTTATAATTATACTTATTGTTAACTTATATAATTTATGTTCATTAATTGACAATTTCGTTATAGTTATTTGAAAAATACAGGGATCAATCTCTTTACAAGAGAAATCTGGACAACTGAGGATTGATATAGTGAGGCATCTGGTGAGTTTGAGACCAAATGGACTGTTTGTATAGAACTACCTGACCTTTGCCAGCCAGAGTAACTCAATCCCAGCTGTAGTCAAAGCCATGATTTTCCTTGAGATCAAACATTTGGTGCAACTGTCTTGCAGACACAAAGTTATGTATCATTTAAGTACTTGATACATAGTCTAGGGCCACACTGTCTAGACTAAAGATCAGGTATTGTACAGTCTACTCTGGAGACCAGCTGACCCAAGCAGTTACTTGCCTGGAATGTTTTAGGAAGTTGTCCTTTGCTGCAACCTCAAATACTTAGGGGTGATCTGTTTTTCTTGCTCATGGGGACCCAAAGCTATGGCCAAACTTTTCCCAAGCTAACCAAGACGTCCTTGACATTATGGGTAGAGCATGTTAGACTTGATTTGAATCTTGTGCAAGTAGTCAAGCCTGGTCCACAGCGTCAGAGCAATGAGTTGCTATCAACAACTTGTCTGTTAGCTCTGCATGACCCCAGACTTCTCTATGATCCATAGTTGCCTTGGTAATATACCTTATGCTCAAAGAGGCTCACCACTCTCCATAGTCAACTCACTTTACCATTCTGTTTCACCTACTAGTAAGATAGTTCCTGGTGGTGGACTATGTCTAGAAATGGCCCCTGCAGTTATTCACTGATATTCTTGGTAGCAATCCATTGGCTCAAGTTCAAGGCTCAGAAGAGGGATATGAAAGAGAAAGGTTGGCCACCTATGTAGATAATCTGTGCCATTTGCAAGGTAAGGCTTACCCTGCAATGGCTCTGGCAGATCACCATTGACAAGTTTGTGGAAGGGTTACCCAGTGAAAAAATTAGACACCACCTGGATGTGAGATCATCCCACTGCTACTGAACCAGTTGCAAGAGAGAAAGAGATAATACTGTAGCATTAGCAGCTGTGGTTGTACCATGCTACTCAGGCTCTCACATTGCATCAAACTCAATCCCAGCTAAGGGCTAACTAACCACCCTCACATCATGGCACTGTGATGCATCAACAGGCAGAGTTATCCCAATTCTGCAGTGGCTTACATGCTATAGTCCATGCCAATGATGCTTCCACCCAACCACTGTTTGAAGGTTGGGGTAATGAAGCTTTTACTTTGCTGTGAAGCATTGTCTCACCTTCAAGTGAATTGTCTGTGCCTTGTCTGAACAGCAAGGTAGACAAGGTTATCACTTTCAAGCAACAGCTCAGTACATGCATCTGATTTAACAAGAGGCAGTGAACAGTCACAATAAAACTCTGTGTAACTAATGTAGTTCAAGTCCAGCCTGGTCACTGACTTGTAGGGAGTGCAACAGGCAGCTTGCCCTGAAAGGTTTGGTGAACAACTGAGCTCTCTTAGGGGTGGGTAGGCTTTTATACATGTATGTAAGAGTACAATAATGAGAAATAATTTCTGGTGACTCAACAGCAGCCAGAACATTAGTAGATCTTGTGATACATATCAGGCACTATGAGTGAAACTGCCACTCGGGAAAGTTGAGACATCTTATTCTTGAAAATGGAAATATATTAGACATGAATGTGGAGGTGTCATTCACAGAAAGAAGACAGTCATCATTAACCTTGGTTTTTGGCATTGATATCCTTGGAATGGATGTGATGTGGAGCTTAGTAATCAGTTCTGTCCATGCGACAAGTGAATTAATGTTCCACTGGAGAGTTAACTGATGTCAGCTAGACCAGACCCAGGAACAGTGGATTGCACAAGTGTATGTGAAAGAAGTCACAGTACCTTCATATAACAAGTGGTGTTCCATGGTCTGCTAAGGACAAAGTCCAGTACACATAACACAGTTATAGTACCCATGCATGAAATTAGCTGTTTACTGTCCAGAAACAAAGCATCATTAACTATTGCAGTTATCTATCCAAAGGTGGATGAATTCCCAGTGTTGTCCTGCAATTATGGATGGTAAGTTATCCAGCTTTATGCTGGAATGGTTACTGGCACAATAAGTGAGTTGGAAGTAACCAAGACTAACAGTAATGCTAGAATTGTGTCTGTCATACAGCATCAAAGCTTGTACCACAGTAACCAACACATCTGACATCACTAGTTTAGAATTAAACAAAGACAGTGCAGTGGCAGCAACTCAGTGACTTGTTGACTGAATGTGCCATTGTATTTGTGGGATCAGATGGCCAATTGGATTGAACAACAATCACAGAGCATCACATAGATACAGGTGACATACATCCTGTTAAACAATCAACACACAGACTTATCTGCAGTACTAAAGACCAGCATCAAGGACAACAGATGGGATCATAGACTCCAGAGAATGCATGGTTGTCTCAAATAGTGATTGTCAAGAAGAAGGAAGATATGCACATGTTTGGCATTGATTTTGTATAGTGAACATGGTAACTCTTTGAGACCCTTCCACTACTCAAACAGATGAAAGTCTGGATGCATTGGAATCAGTCCAATAATTTAATACTGTAGATCTAGCATCTGGATACTGTCAAGTCACACTGGCTGACAAGAGCAAACCCAATATTGTATAGCAGAAAAGAAAATGTATGAGTTTTGTGTGGTGCCATTTGAGGAATTTGAGCAAGCATTTCAGTCCCTAAAGTATGTTTTGATAAAAGTTTTAGTGTTGACTTATTCACAAAGGACCATGAGATCGTATTGGTTATCAATGCCACTGATAATGCAATCAGATCATTGTTATCTCAGTTGTAAGATGAATTAGAAGGTGTAATTGGGCATGCTTGTCATCTCTAATGACTACTGAATGCAGGTACTATATGATAAAGAAAGAACTTCTTGCGACTGTTGTATTGGTAAAATACTACTTGTATGTTAGCAACTTCATTGTTCAAGAGGACAATGCGTCACTGAAATGGTTGATGAACTTCAAAAATCCAGAATGATAGCATGCTGGTTAACAGCCTAGCAGGAATATGATTTAGTTGTACATTATTGCCTGGGACAACAAGACAGAAATACTGATGGTATGTCTTGCCACACAGAATACCATATCCATTCATGTAATGTCCAGATACTGAAGAGTTGAAAGCATTTCTGCCATAGTGATGACAAGCCATATTGTAGGAGATTCCACTTAGATTGAGGAACATTACACAAACACATATAACCTTTAACACTTGTAGGAACAGTTATGAGTCGGGAAGGTGTGCTGTACAATTGTAATAAATAACCAAACTAGATGTCTCCAGTACTTTCAGGCACGAGATGCTCCAGACATTGCATAGCATAAACTATATGGCACCAAGTTGTTACCAGCACATGTGCTAATGTTTAACAATGGTTCTTTTGGCCACATTCAAGCCAGTACAATCATGGCTTGTATCAGCACTTTACCCTGTTTAGGTCAGCATTTTCTCTAAGTGGCTTACATTATAAACTCCAACAAAGAGAGAACCATACAGAAAATAACCCTAGAGATCAGTCACAGAACATCACGTAGATACAGGTGATGCACATCCTATTAAACAACCAACACACAAATTTACCTGGAGCACTAAAGACCAGCATTAAGGATAGGATCATAGACCTCCAAAAAGTGCTTGGCTGTCTCAAGTGGCGATTGTCATGAAGAATGCTTAAACAGGGCAAACTCCAGCAGAGAATTGTTGGTTCTCCTATACAGAGATTAACCCTGGAGGGCAATGGTCC